GGGTTAAATCTCAGTTAAATATCAAACCACTGTGGCCTGAGTTCAATCCCCAGCCAGTGAACTAACCCACATATGGCACAGCAGATCTCTCCTGCCTCTCTTGCTACTCCCCATAGCAGTGTATTTCAGTAGATTTGTCTGTTCTGATTCCCACTCTGTCTCTGGTGAATCTGCTCACCCCCTGCACTTCTGGTCTACACCCCAGTTCCTCTATGCATAAATAAGTAAATAAATAAATATTGATAAGGCAGAATCCTTTGTATCACCGTGTGCATTAAAAACACTTCTTCTCTAGAAGTAATTTTTTAATTTTTTATTTTATTAAGGTAATATTGGTTTAAAACACTGCACATGATTCAGAAATATAGGGTTATAGGGTAAGTGAAATGGCCAGATTTTTGCACCATTGGCCTCTGTGACCTTGAATGTAGAAGGTGCTTGGGAGCGTGGGCTCAGGGTATGTATACCTGATGATGGATACCTGGAGTATGGTCTGGGCATGCATAAGTGTGCACTCTTGAGCTTGGAGGCTGGGGATATAAGGGTGATGTCACTCAGCCAGAAGAACAGGTACAAGAGGACTAGCAATGGCTGTGAGAGGAAGAGACCACAAGAGAATGCCAGAGAGCCCAAAGAGTAAAATTTTGCTGGGGGCTGGGAGGCCTGCCAGCCTCCTGCATCTCCATCCTCCCTGCCTTGCCAGCCTGCAGGAATGACCCACAACAGTTGACATAGAAAGAGCATTAAAGCCTGAAAGAGCTACTCAGGGCTCCAGGATTCTTCTTTATTTGGGTGCTTGAATTGCTAGAGAACCTTCCCTGTGCTTGCTCACATAACACACACATATCACATCTACCTCAATGATGTGGCTTTTCTAAATAGTGTTGAAGTGAACATAGAAATGCATATATTACTTCAAATTAGTATTTTTGCATTACTTGGGTGTGGAATTGCTGGGTTATATGGTAATCTATTTTTATATTTTGAGGAACCTCCACACTGTTTTCTGTAGTGATTCGACCAGTTTTCATTCCCACCAGCAGTGCAAGGGGGTTCCTTTTACTCCACATCCTTATCAGCATTTGTTGTTTTCTTTTCTTTTCTTTTCTTTTCTTTTCTTTTCTTTTCTTTTCTTTTCTTTTCTTTTCTTTTCTTTTCTTTTCTTTTCTTTTCTTTTCTTTTCTTTTCAATATGGGCACTTCACAGGTGTAAAGTGGTATCTCTTTGTGGTTTTAATATTCATTTCCCTGATAATAAAGGACGATGAGCATTTTTTATGTGCCTATTGGCTATGTGTAAGACTTCTTTGAAAAGTGTCCATTTAGATCTGTCCATTTTTAATTGGATTTTTGTTGTCTTTTTTTAATTGCATGAGTTCTTTGTAGATTTGGGTGTTAATCCCTTGTCAGATGTATGATGTGGAAATGAATTATCTTATTTAGTAGGGTGTCTTTTTGTTTTAATGATAGTTTCTTTCCCTGTACAGAGGTTTTTTTTTTTTTTTTTTTTTTAAATTTGATGTAGTCCCATTTGTTTATATTTGCTTTTGTTTTCCTTGCTATAGGAGTCAATTACCCAAATTCATCACTGAGACCAATGCCATGGAGTGTTTTACTTGTTTCCTTTTATGTGTTTTATGGTTTCAGTTCTTACATCTAAGTCTTTAATCCATTTGAGTTAACTTTTGTGTATGGTGTGAGACAGTGGTCTTGTTTCATTGTTTTGCATGTGATTGTCCAGGTTTCCCAATGTCATTTATAGAAAAAATATTCCTTTCTCCAATGTATGTACTTAGTTCCTTTGTTATGAATTAACTGTCCATGTTAATATGGTTTTATTTCTGGGCTCTCAATTCTAGTCCATTAGTTTATGTGTCTATTTTTATTCTAATACCATGTTGTTTTGATTACTATAGCTTTGTAATGTAGTTTGAAGTCTGGGAGTGTGATTATTCTGGTGTTTTTTTGTTTTTTTTTTTTCTTTGGGTCAGGCTTACTTTATCTATTCACAGTCTCTTGTGTTTCATTAGAATTTCAGAATTTTTGTTGTATTTCTTTGAAAAATATTATTGAAACTTTGATAGGAATTGCATTGTATCTATATACTGCTTTGTGTAAGACAGCCATATTAACAATGTTATTTTTTTCCAACCATGTGTCTTCTAATTCTTTGCACAATGTCTTTTAGTTCTCATTTCATATTCTCTCCTTTGCTTAGTTTACCCCTAGGTATTTAATACTTCTTGAAGTGATAGTAAAGAAGATTGTTTTCTTTATTTCTTCCACTTCTAGTTCATTGTATACATAGAGGATCACAGCTAAATTTTGT